TTGTTGCTTATGTGTTTTATCGTATATTCTTGCATAATCATTTTGATTATATCATATAAAAAGAACAAATTTGATAAAAATTAAAAAGACAAAAAAATATTCAATTTTGATCTTTGGGCATAAGAGATTTGTAAGAGCCCGTTGGACTTTGTGTGTGACTTAGGCTTGACATGAATCATTATTCGAGAATTGTAATCTTAAATCGCATAATGGTTATTGTTGAGTCACTCTAAAACCATTGGACTTATATTGTCATTATACATATGTTCGCTTAAGAACTCATAGTTCAACTTAATTTTCGATTAAGTTTGAAGTAGGATAGATTTTAGGATCAATCCAAGCATATGAATATTAGGTTAGGGTTTCCCTCTGATCTCAACCTTAGGACCACTTTGCATGATAACATTTAGGATCCAGTTCTTCTAGATTTTATTTCTTTTTGCATCCAAATCTTTTCTTGCATAAAAAATCCAAAAATACTTAATGAATGTGATGCGTATAATACGCCACGAGTCTTAAGTAAATGGGAAAAGATGAGCGAAAGTTTTCCTTACCTCTTCTTAGAGTATTCTGTACGTGAGACGTTTGGATCATTTGTGCAAAGTATTCGCTCCTATTGTCATAAACTTTAGTATAATATGCGTCTCAAACTCTTTTCAAAACCTTAAAAAAAAATTCAACACATCCAAATCATTTTGTCCTTCGAGATTTTCTCTTCAAAACCATTTTCAGAAAGGGCATGTTATTTCTATTCTACCGCAATACAAGATAAAGCGTAAATCTTCTCACGTACGAGCGGAAAAACCTAACTGCTACAATGTGAATGTTAGCATCGTCCATAAAAAATATCCAATACCCCGTAGTTCCACGAACTACAGACTCTCTGATTTCCCATTCCTATTGAGAATACGTAGTCACAAAGGCCCCAATCCTTGGCGAGCAACCTTTCTATTTTCACCGTAGTCCTCCGAACTACGATTGCTCTGACTTTCCCATTGAACGAGGGAATACGTAGGCACAAGATTGCGAGATCCTGGCGAGCCCTCTTTTGTTTTTCCTTTTCATACATTTCCTTAGAGAGTAAGCTTTAGATATACACACCATTTGATTAGAACAACAAGAGTGGATTCTGTTGAATACAATGGACGCGAGGGGTGCTAATACCTTCCTTTTGCGTAATCGACTCTCAAATCCAAACTTGGTTGTGAGACCATATTCTCTCCCTTCCGAGGGTTTCTCGACGTTTTCCTTTCCCTGTTGGGATAAATAAAGTTCGATGGCGACTATGTGACTTCGCTATTTGTTTTTTCGCGTAGAGACAAATACCTTAATAAAATTACCACAACTATAATGATATAATAATATATTTACCCTCACTACAAGAAATAATATCACATTAGCTTTCCAATGCAATTGACCACACCTCAAACAGACTTAGGAAATTCAAGTTACGCGCAAAATAAGACAACCAATACCGATTGAGACTTGACTACGCTTATGGTGTAAGAAGCAGAGAACTGCTACTATTGTAGTGCTCCCAAATCTTATTTCATTATTTCAAAAATTAGGTCATCATGTTAGCTTTCCAACACAACTGATTTCACCTCAAACAGACTTACGAAACTCAAGTTATACGTGAAACAAGACAGCAAATACCGATTAAGACTTGACTACACTTTTGGTATAAGAACCAAAGAACTTATACTTATGTAGAGCTTCCATACCCCATTTTCTTATTTCAATAAAATGGTTATCGTGTTATCTTTCAAACACAACTAACCACACCTCAAACGAACTTACGAAACTCGAGTTTTGCACAAAACAAGGCGATAAATATTATTAACCCAACAACGACACGATCCGGCCGTGTCAACTGACATGGGCCATGTCAGCTCCATACCTCTTTAGTACTAAAACCCTACAGCGACACGGTCCGGCCCGTGTAAGGCCCTAGACTCTAAATTTTGCTTTTTGACTTTTCACGAGATATTATATGCTAAACTCAATTTTTTCATTCAAGACATATCCCAATTTAGTTTTAAGTAAATTTTATCATATAGTCTTGGACCTCTCTTCCTTCACATAACTAAACAATGTAGGACTTCAAAGAACTTGTATCCTCCTATATATAACATTAGACTCTTTCTTCATTCACAAAACTAAGCAATGTGAGACTTCTTCAACATGTATATTTTCAACCAACCCCAACATTTTTTCCTTGTATTCTTTGCTCATACCATTTCCTATTTTCCTTTTCTCTCTCACTGATACGCGATTATCTTTTTTCCTTTTTCTCCCTTTCTAATTCCCCCTTTTTTTAAACGCTAATTCTAATTTATTTAATTTTTATTCCATTTAGCTCCCCTAATTTTTTTAGCTATTTCATCTTTTAACTTCTATTAACATATAATTCTGCAATCTACCATTATCCTTATTAATCTCCCACTAACTCTTAATATTCAAACTATTATTATTAATATTTTCTTTACTAATAAATTCAACATTCATATTATTTTTTTAAATAATAATAAAGTTAAAAAAACCACTCAAGCGCACAAAAAATCCAATTATTAAAACAACAAAAATGCGAGAGAGAAAAATTAAGGGAGTTACACTTATTCCCGACCAACAATAGAAGCTTTTTACCCAGCTTAAGCTAACGAACCAATCAGATATTTTTGAGACTTATCTCATGAACCAAACATACATTTTTTTGAGAATGTTATGAAAAACAAAACAAAAATTTTAAGACTGATTTATCTCAAACAACAAACTATATTTCTCAAGAGTATCACACTCTTGAGTATAATATCAACAACACGATACCAATACAATTTCCTCACCAGTATATTTTTACTCGAAGGCGCTAAGACAACTTATGTGAGAGAAAAATATTTAGAGAGAGAGAGAGAGAGAGAGATTCCAAATAAAATAGAGCTTCGAAAAAATGGTGTGTAATGAGGAAGAGAGGTGCCTTCTTTATATAAAAGTTGAGAAAAACAGAAAAAAAAACCATCCATGTGCGATTTCAATGTGCTAATCAATTGACTCTTTGTCCCAATGGATTGGATGAGTGAAATAATCAATTATTTTGGACCATTTTGAAAAGTTTGGATAGAGAGTCATTGCTAGTCATTAAGACACTATCATAACCGATTATATAATTTATTAGGCTTTTTCCAATCAATTGGCTTAAGGTCCCAATCGATTGGGTAGTTCAAAAAGTTTTTTCAATAGATTGGCTTAAGGTCCTAATCAATTAAATAGTTCAAAAATGATTTTAAAAGGAAGGTAACAATATTCTAATCAACTGGCTCAAACTTGAATTTTTTAAAGAGCTTTGATACTTAAAATAGATGTTTTAAATGTGTGTGCGAGTTGACTTAGTATCGTAGGAGTTACTCCCTAACTTTCACAAAATTGTGGTCACTCAAGAAGACATTACCTCGCCTTTCACACTTTCTCTCTTTCGCAACTCTGGTGCCTTTAAGATCCTTTTCCAAATATATCGATCATATAAAGACTTCAAATATACTCTTAAGTCTCCTACTATACGAGGCTTGAGATATTTTTAAGTTTGGTTTCCATCATTAAGAGTTGAAAAACTAATACCACTGACTTCAACACTCACACTTTCTCTCTTTCGCAACTCTGGTGCCTTTAAGATCCTTTTCCAGATATATCGATCATATAAAGACTTTAAATAGACTCTTAAGTCTCCTATTATATGAGGTTTGAAATATTTTTAAGTTTGATTTCCATCATTAGAGAGTTGAAAAACTAATACCATTCAACACTCATTGGTGATGTCGCCATCAAAAGTTTTAGGAATGTTATCAATAGGATCATCAATTTCATATTCACAAGCACATAAATCCACATAAATTACTTATATATCAACTTTATAAATAGTAAAGGACCTTACAATTTTCAACGATGAAACAAATGAAAATTGAACTATGTTCTAACGAGAAAGAATGAGTTGAACCAATATAAGTCTGATGTGCATTTTTTCTTCTCCCTATCTCTTTCAACTTTTTGTATTATATAGTATGCATTAATTCAATTATCTTTAGAATATCATGTCATATGGATTTTAATTTTCTTTATAATGTTTTATTATATAAATTTTTCTGGACCATTCAATCCTCGTATTCTCTTCCAACAAAATCATTCTTCCTTGAATTGTATAGAGGTAGTTATGCTCTCTTGACAAGTCAATTCTTTTTATAGATGAAATGTTACATATTATGCTCAAATAAATAATAGAAATTTTGAAATGCTATGTTTTTAAAATGTCACATAAAATTTTAAATGATATGACAAATAAGAGAATAAGTCATAAATTCGACTTAGATTTAATATAAATATAATAGATAGATATATTAAAATAAAGAAAAATGCTATTTTTACACCATTTTCTACACCCAATACTTACACCGTATGCACTATTCAACAATGCTTTTTTTTTATTAAAATAATATATATTTTTTAAATATTAACTTTAAAAAAAAAATATTTATTTTTAAAAATTTATTTTATAACACAAATATAAGATTGCGCATTAACCAACTTCACAGTTGCATTAACCACAATAATCTACGTCATTAGTCAATTATTTTACTTATAATTTATTAACCACTTTCACTACTTCATTAACCAATAAAATACACACTATTAACCATGTTCTGAGGAATTTGTTCAAGTATTTGTGAACAGTAAATTGGGTGTAAGGTATAGAAAAGAGTGTTAACATAGCAATCCTGTAAAATAAAATACCATACAACCTAATCAATGAACTCTTTATCAATGCCAAATAAAATACAACCTGTGGTTAAATACAAAAATCTATGGCAAACAACTTCTCACTAACCATAGAACTATACCTAACTAACTAACTAACTGTGATTCTTACACAAATACATTCTGCTTGATCTCATGATTTTTCACTCATTCTACATTACAAATTACATGTTTCTTAGCCTAATTTCTTCTCATTGTCACTGTGGTTGGCTAACAGGAACAAAACCCCTACCACCAAAAACCGGGCGCATTATTGCATCATCAAACTTACGCCATAACCGATGAGCGGTGTATGTTGGAGTGGTGAGTAAATCACGAATGCTGCTTAGACGGTGGAAATCATTGCCATCAATATCAACATCAACATCAGAACCTTGATTATCTCCAAGGAATGGCACTGTGACTGATTTCGGTGAAATGCCATCAAGATTCTCCTTGCTGTTTTTCCGTTTTGGAACGGGACCGAGTGGAAGCAAAAACCTTATTAATGGCTTAGTCATCATGCCAAACACCTGAAAAATTGTGATTAAATTGTGTTATTAGTAATAACAAGACAGCCTCAATATGACAGAAAAATGAACACTGACTTACCATTGTACTGACAAGCACGACAGTGATGGTACTTGTGATCATGATAGCGTTGAATTGAAGTTGAGTATGCCCCGACATAGTAAACTGCATTTTATAGCTTATACATAAGTACTTATATGATAAACGTTTATGTTACAAATTATAATCTTCGATTAAGCTTCTACCTGATTGTAGGCAAGTGCCATTGAAACAGCACCTCTCATAAGACCAGCCCACCAAATAATCACCTAAAACGATAAAAAACGGAGTGCTTGTGATGATAACTTGTAGCTCAAGAAATCTATAAAAGAAGAGTACTTGTTGAGAGAAATATAGCCATACATACCTGTTGCCTAAAGCTTATTTTCTCGTTTTCTGACTTTTTTGTTAAGTTGGATAAGAATGATAAGGGAAAAACAAATGCTGCTCTTCCAATGAGAACTAGAGCTAATAATACTGAACTTACAACAACAGATGTTCCAGGTCTGCAATGACATAAGAATGTTCAACAGTCTTTCGTTTTTTTTTTTTTTTTGAAAGCTTGGTATCTGGTTTTTGGCTCAACACAGAGATTGTTAGCACCTAGCGGGATTTAAACCTGAGATCTTGAGAGGAGCACACTCTCAGGACTCAAGTCTTCACCAACAGGCCAACCTCTGGTGTTTCAACAGTCTTTCGTTAATATTAACAAGTTTTAAAAGAGGACATGTGACATACCTATCACTAACGAATCTCCATTTTTCCATGTCCAAGGCATCCATACCAACATAGAGAAAGAGAAACGTCTCGGCAACAAATGACATGGTTGCAAATGAATGTCTGCAAAAGTAAAGTCAAATAGGGTTACTTTGCTACCCCGAATAGATCCAAATACAACTTCAAGAGTTTAGAAGATGAATACTTGGTAGTGATTCTTGAGCACTCAGTCACATTATGCCATGTATAATGAGACATTACAATTCCACAAAAGAATACAGTGAGAATGCCACTCAGATACCATAACTGCAGAACATGTAGATTTATGTAAGAAACTAGATTAGACGAAATACACAAAGTTCGAAAATATTTCATAAGTTCTTTAGAGCTTACTTCAGCTAGAATATAGGTAAGGTATGCCATTAGCATCATGAGAGCAACTTCGCGATCAGTTGAGTGCCTACAATGAGTGACAAACTTGTTCAACTTTCGAAAAATTGTACTAAATTCTAAATAGCATTTCCAACTCGGTTATAAACTAATAGAATTACATACCTTCCAAAATAGAGCTTTTTGATAATGTAAGCACTAAGTAGACCACCCTGCAAGGCACGAAAACACATTACACCCGAGTCACGCGCACATACAGATGCTCGTGTTGATATAGATAGCCCGTGTTTATCTCCCAAGCAATTGGCCTAGTTGGTGAACTGAGGGACATCGAACGAGTACTATTCAAGAGTCTTTGAGACTTAACGTAACTCACTAACTAACGTTTATCTATAGAAAAAAAGATAGATTGTGATGCGCACATGAGAATCAGAGAAAGAGAGAGAGCAAGATAGTCAGTTACCAAAACTCCAAGCATGGTGCTTGCTATAAACAAATAAAAGAAGTTGCCGAAAAATTGCAAGGCAATTCCATGGTCGAATCGTGCAAGATCAAAACTTTTGATTGCGTTGAAAAGCACGACTGAAGTAGCATCATTCACAACGCCCTCGCCAAATACAAGGCTGTATAGTAAAGGTGTCTCATCCTGGTTTAACACCTGCATCATCATCACCATCACCATCATTGACACATTATACTTGCTTTGGAAGACAGAGAGACACAAATTATTGTTACAAACCTGCAATGTGCACACTGAATCTGTCGCGCCAAATATTGCACCAATTGCTGAAATTTGATTTCAAAAGTGAGTCACAAACCGAATTCGACACTTGACAAGTTGCTAAAGTATATAGATGATATTGAATTGTGTCGTAAAATCACCTATAGCATCTCCTAGATCGAGTTCATGGAAACCCAGTCTCTTAAAAATTTGTAACGCACCTGAAACAATGCTTCAAAAAATTAACTCAGATCAGAATTACACTCTTAGTTTTCTTAAACTAACTATCCGAATTTTCTCGATAAATTGATAAAGGCTAGAATCCATTTAAAGAGAAAAATCATACCAAAACTTATGATGATACAACTTATCAATGTACCAATCGCACCAAACATCATGATTGTCATGAAATTAACAAAAAACCGTTTCTTTTTCACCTGAAACCTGAAATAGTCCAAATCATAATCTCAAATTAACAGTACATGAGTTCTTCCAAATCATAAAACATGTTGCATAGCAAAATTTACCCGGCATTGAATATGATTGGAGGAAGAAGGTATATGAAAAAAAGATCTTCACTGAAAACAAGAAGATGCGAGCTTTTTCCGCGACTTATCAACAAAATAACCTCGCCAGTGCAAAGACCCTGATCAAAACAAATCAACATCAAATTCAGTTACCATCGTATTTCAACCGGTTGGACCGTGAACCGAAAAACTTACTATCAAAAGAGCTGTGATAGATTCGTTAATCCAGCGATTATCCTCGAGAAGATGACCAAGGACTATGCAAGCACATAGCAATGCGACAAATATGTTCATTGATATTACGGATGAATAATCCGAAGTGTTTAACATTCGAAGAAATTCAGAAGACATTTTCTGAACCTTCAATAACAAAACAAGTATAATTAATTTGTGCAATCAAATGCACACTTTACAAAGGCAATTCCATGTTTCTTCTCTTGAGGTACCATTCAATAGCAACGACAACACATTTTCATTTTCTGCAATAAAAAGAAGAAATATAAACCTGTGCGTTAGATTTACTACAACAATCATAAACAAAAAAAACACACATGTTTCTGTTTTGTCAGAATCATACCAACAACAACAAAAAGAAAATAAATAAACGGTGAGTGGAAAGTTAATGGAGTTTTGAGATTTTTGTTAAAACATAAGAGAGGAAGAGGAAGAGAAGAAAAATCGGAGAAAAAAGGAAGAGAAACGTTGAAAAGTTAAGAAGCGTGTAACGCGGGAATCACGAACGAACTGTAATAGAAACTGAAACCTTCTTCCATTTATACCTATTATTATAGCTCTTGGATCACCATACTTTTCAAATTATATTTTAATAATTATTTTATTTTAGTTTGGATATAATTTAAATTATTTTTAATATAATATTTAATGTCGTTTAATTTTGACACTTTTGATTCTTTTACGAATAATTCAATAGGTTATAAATAAGAATGTTGTATCTTCTAAATTTATAAATATAGTTTTTACAAAAATTTATTTTGTTATCCAAAAAAAAATAGTGACTTTAGTTTAATGTAGTAAAGTATTTGCATGGAGAGTGTATGGTGAGAAAATACATAAATGGATAAGATAATGAATGTGATTCATTGATTATCATGGGCTGCTTCCACATATATAAGTGCAGTAGCAACAGTAGAAAACAATTACAAAACTAACTAAATCAGTTAGTTAGTTACATCAAAAACAACAATCTAACTAATATGATCAATAAGCAAGTGACTTCTACTTAAAAATAGCAAAAGCTCTTAATACTCCCTCTCAAGTTGGGAGGTATATGTTGTAAATTTTCAACTTGACTATGAGGTAATGAAACAAGTTTCTAGGCAAGACTTTAGTGAGTGAATCGGTCAGATGGCACTTGGATGGGATGTGTATCAACTTGATGAACTCTGCATCCACATGTTCTCTAATGAAATGACAAACTATATCAATGTGTTTGGCCCTTTCATGACTCATTGAATTATTTGTCATTTGGATTGCTGATGTGTTATCACAAAAGACTTTACAAGACGAGACATTGATACCAAATGCCCTTAGCAGCTGTCTTCAACCATAGCAACTTAGATGTAACAGATGTCAATGCTCTGTACTCTACTTCAACTGAGGATCTTGAGATAGTTGGCTGCTTTTTGAATTTCCAAGCCACTAATGACTCTCCAATGAAAATGCAAGAACCTGTGGTAGACTTCCTTATTGTGATACAACTTTCCCAAATTTGCATCAGCATAAGCAAAAATATGCAGAGAAGGATTTGAGGAGAATAATATTCCTTGACTTGAAGTGCCTTTAAGGTACTGCATGATGTGATTGATCTCATTCAGGTACTGCATGATGTGATTGACCTCATTCAGATGTTATTTTCTTGGTTTAGACGTGTATTGATTGAGTTTGTGAACAACATATGAAATATCAAGCCTGGAAATGGTGAGGTATGATGACTCGATTTCGTATCGTTTATTTCGATTCAAGTTGTGCATATTTACTTATTGTTTTATAAAGTCTTTACCGTTTTCCACATTATTTGCTTATGTTTTCCTTTGTCTTGCTTTGACAGGTGTCATTTCAGTCATGTAGAAGAAAAGTATTAAATTGAGCTAAATAATGAAAGAAAAGTGAAGAAAATCACAAGCTTTGACTCGTCCAAGTTGAATGGCGCTCGTCATGTGTCTCCCTTCATCCAAATGGCGCTCGCCATGCCCAAAAAAGGAGGGAATCCTGATTCAAGCAAATGGCGCTTGCCATCAGGGGACAGTGATTGCCGTTGTTAGCGGGAGTAGTTTTTCAGAAGCAGTTTCAGGCAATTTCTTTGGTTTGAATTCGAATTCAAACCTCTCCTGGAGTCTATTTTCTTCTATAAATAGGACACCAGAGGCCTGCATTTTTTATCCAAGAAACCCGCAGAAGCGCTGCCGAAATCACCCGAACCATATATTCACTTTCCACAATATCAATTATTTACACTGAGCAATTGTTACACCATTGTATTTTCTTTCTTTCTGTTGTGCTGATGTACTTGAATCAAAGTTTAATTTAATACAAGTTTCAGTTTATTCTACCTTCCTTACAATTTACAGGTTATTTATTTCTTGCATTTATTTACCGTTTTCCTATTTGCACGTGTCTGCTTTATAATTGAATTTTACTCTGAAAACTTAATTCTGAATTTTCACTTAAATTAATCGACATGTATGTCTTAATTTCCAGCACTGTTAACATGTTAGTTTTATGATTTGATATGTTAGGTTAAATTATTATGAGCTTGTAGTTTGAGGACCTTCGTTTCGACGGGACTCTATTGAAACCATCTGTGTTAATTATGCATGTCTTATAATCTGGCTTTAGTGTCTAGTTCTAATTTAGGTTGCTTTGTCGTGAGAGCGAGAAGCCGCTTAACAGCGTTTGGTCACGAGAGTCAGAAACGTATTAAGGTGTGTCCAATAGAGGGAGAGTTTGAGAAAATCACCAGATAGTAGACACTAAGCACTGGACTTAAATACAACGAGAGTGCTTTAGCCTTCAGTTAGGCTTTGTTAGCTTTTAAAATACGTCTTTTAACTACCGAGCGAGCGAGAGCAAAATCTTGGAGTTATTAGGTGTGGCTTGGTCAATAGCGCGAGAGTGTGAGATTGAGTTTTTAACCCGACAATTCCTACAGAACTATTCTTGAGACCCTTGTTAGCACCCGGAATCTATAGAGTCCCTTAGAAGCGCGAAAATCATTCTTCGGTCTCATTTCATTATTTGTTTTAAACCCGTCAGTATTAGTTATTTTTCTTCCCTTTTTTATTCTGTGAAATTAAGCCTTAGCTCTACAACGCAATATAGATCCCTTTAGGTTGATTATTAATCCCTGTGGGTTCAAAAATCTTTTAAAACTACGTGATACACTATATGCTTACAGTTCTATTCGACTAATACTCTAAGTCCGCGATCAAGTTTTTGGCGCCATTGCCGGGGATTAATTTTAGTCAATATTGTGATTTCTTTACTGCACAGTATAGACTTAGGCAACTATTTTTCTTTTCAATCTGTCGATAGTATGTCAAGCACTCGCTCTCAAGACAAAGTGTTAGAGCAACCAATTGACGAAATTGAGAGCTTTATTAGCTTAAGGCGCCGAATTCAAGAATTTCATATTTGAAATTCTGGCTACCCGAAAGTGGATGTTATCACGGATGTTATGACATCCACTATAACATAGATTGCTAAACTTAAACACAACTGTAAATGGAAAGCAGTAAATAACACGAGTAATTATTCACCCAGTTCAGTGTCAACTACACCTACATCTGGGGCTACCAAGCCAGGGAGGAAATTCACTATTAGTAGAATTAATTCAGAGTCAAACAACCCGTTTGGACTCTTCACTTAAGACCTACCCAATGTCACTTCAGCCTAGAAACCACTAGACCAGAGTTTCCCACTCACTCCCCCTCAATCACCATAGTGATATCAATACATAATTACAATTGAGATATGAAGACACACTTCAAACACACCTTAATCTTGCTTCACAGCTTTGATCAAGAGACACAACACTCTTGCTTAAAAGCTTTGAGTGACACAATGAACACAACAGTTCATCAACACTAAACCAGAGCAATCATACAACAGACAATTGCTTGGCCTACAAGGAATCCTAAGACTCCTAAACACACGTGAAGAACAAATTTCTTCACTCACAACATACACTCTCCAATCTCTCTCCAGAAGCTCTTCTTTATTCGGAATGATCCTTCTGTTATTTATAGCAGCAGACTTGCTTTGGGCCATGATAGAGAAACTATGTTTACCCAAGATAAACCGCTCTTCATAAAGCTACGCACATCCAATTGAGTCAGGGGCATTCCAGGTTATCCTTAGCAGTGCTTGTTATGTCGCCTAAGATAACTAGACTACCTAGAATGTTTCCTGAAGTATAGCCTGAGCTAATAACAGAAAAACTAAAACTGCGCACCCTGATGTCATACGCTCGATGTCATAACATTCAGTCATGACATTCAACTTCACTTACTTTTAGCTCTCCCTGAAAAACACTTTTCATGTATGTCATAACATCAATTATGACATTCATACATACATTAATGTTTTACCATAAAATGCAGCCAATCAAAAGCATCTACAAACTCCCCCTTAGGCAAATTTTTGGCTAAAACACTCTGTTACAGTATCAGAGATTACAAGCAGCAGAAGTCAAATAATTTATCATGCAGGAAAGCTAGCTAAAACACACTCACACTGTTAGCTCTTAGCTTCTCAGGATCAACCTGTTCACACACAATCATCTACAGATGTCACAATGTTTTGAGTAACATTCTGAGTTACTCCCCCTCCACGGATGCATACCACATCAGCTGTACACAACCTGCAGTCACACACAAATTATTCAGGATTTTCTGGATGTCAAGACATTCAGGATGACATCCTGAAGAACACAATCACCTTTTACATCCTATTCTACTCCCCCTGAAACAATGCAGAGCCACACACACATTTTGCAAACACTCTGCAGATACACACAACTAGCAGCTATCCTACTACTAGGTTCCATCAAGGAACACACACACATCTTAGCATCTTCAGCAGAACAATACACAAGTCTTCCACCTATGAGGGACATACACAAATCAATCTAGCCCTGCTGTTACACATACTACCACATTCTCTCCCCCTTTTTAGCCACAAATTAAGATCAAAACTAATTAAATAGTAAGGATCACAATGAGTAACATTACAGAAGTTAGGGGTCATTACAAAAAAAACTGCTCATGAAGAGCATCACAAATTCATGCTGTCATTTTAAATAAAATCTAAACCAAGGAATCAACAAAATCACA